ATATATATATATATATATATATATATATATATATATAGTACTGTGCAAAAGTCTTAGGCAATTAGTATTTTCACCAACAAAAAATGGTTTTAAGCCAGTTATTTTTTTTCTTTTGCTATAGTGTATCAGTAGGAAATATCAGTTTACATTTCCAAACATTCCTTTTGCTATTAATTGTAATAATCCAGTGATATTTTTGTCTGCACAAGGAGTCTGACAGCAGCCAGTGCTCCACACAGAGATCTGTTCTAATCATCATCCAGTCCGTCTGGGATTACATGAAGAACCAGAAAAACCTGAGTCCTAAATCCAGAAGAACTGTCTCCAAGATGCTTGAAGAAACCTTCCTGCAAAGCTACAGTGCTGTTTAAAGTTTTAGGCACTTGTGTAAACATTCTGTAAAGTGAGGATGCTTTCAAAAATAATGTCATAAATAGATTTTATTTATCAAATCAGCATTTGGTGCAACCACCCTTTTTGTTAAAGCAGCTTTTGTCCTAAGTACACTTGCATATAGTTCTTCAGGTAGCTTTGCAGGAAGGTTTCCTGAAGTGTCTTGGAGGTGTTGCCACAGTTCTTCTGGATTTAGTCTGTCTGAGTTTTTTCTGTTCCTTCATGTAATCCCAGACGGACTGGATGATGGTGAGATCAGATCACTGGCTGCTGTCAGACTCCTTGTGCATACAAACATCTCATTGGATTGTTACAATTAATGGCAAAAGGAATGTTTGGAAATGTAAACTGATATTTCCTACCGACACACTACAGCAAAAGATATAAATACGTGGCATAAAACCTTTTTTTGTTGTTGTTGGTGAAAATACTATTGGCCTAAGACTTTTGCACAGTACTGTGTATATTCAACACATTTTAATTCTAGACTTTTTAATATCCACATCAATACATATCATGTAATAGCGCTATTCACAATGTTCTTTAGAATTAATATTCATCATACTTTGTGTGTGTATATATATATATATATATATACACATGCATTTTTTTATGATACTGTATTATTACTGTGGTATGCAACTGCAACCACATGTTCTGGACTTGGAAAATGTCTTGTCCGTGTATGTAGGAATGCATTTGCTTCTGTCATTGTGCAGTGTCCTTGAGCTTGGGAAAGGCGCTATATAAATTAAACTTATTATTATTATTATAACATATACATGCATAAATGCATGAAGTACGGGTTGTGTTATTTTTTTTTATCTGGTTTGCTTTCTGTGTATGTTTTTATAATTTTCTCTTCTGTAAAGCACTTTGGTCCGATGCATATCAATGTAATGTATATGAAAGAATAGAATATTATAAATGCATGCATACGTACGTTTGAAGTATGTGTATTGATTATAAATAATATTGTGAATAACACTATTACATGATATGCAATGATGTGGATGTCAACTAATAAAAGAAATCTAGAATAAAAATATCTTGAATTTAAAAAAAGAAGAAGAATTTAATCGTTCAAGAATTTAGTTGTACAGTTCGTACCTGACGTAAAAAAAACAGACTGGAAATCGACAGCAGCACATCTGTGTCTGCTGGAAAATAATCACGTTATTAGTATTTCCGGTCAACCTACTACAATTCCCTCCGACTAGCGACGAAGCATCAGTTGTGGGGCTTTTTGTTGGCAAACAAAGACGTGAGGAAATGTGTTTTGCGAACATTGACGCGATGAGTTAAGTTAACGAGGAGCTGAATTAAACTCGGCTCAGTTATGAAATGTATTTCAAGTGTGATGAGAGAAAGCCTGACCTCCCCCACCCCAGATAAAGATAGAGTTGGCTTGTTGTTAGCTGCCTCGGCTAAACAAACCCCGCGCTGATCTTATTATAGCAGAAAGGGGGAGCCAGAGACTTACAGCAGACCGACAACCAACCTCTCATCCCAACAACAGTCCCCTTATTTTTTCTTCTTTGAAGTTACCCCAAGCTAAGGTAAATATGAAACCCTGTCACAATTTCTCCTAAAGCCGTCTTCGCGTTCCCTTACCACATTTCCATCTCGTTTTGTCCTCGACGGAGCGGCTCTGAGGAGACCAACGGCGCAACGGCTCGGCTAGCCGTGGCGGGAAGCGCGTGACGCGGCGACGCTCTCGTGCGTAGAGTCCGAGGCTTCTGGGGAGCTCGCGGAGGCCTCGCGACACAAACACGGGCGAATGTTTTTTGTGTGGGAGCTCAAACGGATTATACACGGATATATTATACACAGACCGAAAACGTTTCGTCGCCTGACGCACAGTGCGAGGAGAGGAGGGTGGAAAGCGAAAAGTGTTTTTATTGTTCGCGAACGGAGATCGAAAGATGTGCGTAGCCGAGCTAGCTTTCGCGAGCGTTTAGCATAGCGACGGCCATCGTTTAATAAGACTAAATGACTGAACTAGTCTCAGAAAATTGTATGTGAGATAACTAAATTTGTTAGTTAAATAAGTAGGAACGCAAGCGGCTCGGGTTTCTGTAAGAATTCACATATCGGATTAGAGCAATGCTAACTAGCGAGGCACTGCAAGCAAGCAATCTAGTAAGTCCCGAGCTAACGCTTTGCTAATAGTCGAAATCATCTCTAAGCATCTCTCGATAACCCACGAGCGGCTTATGGTAAATATTTACTATCTGTTGTTCATGACTTTGCTGTGTTAGCCATGTTTTGAGTCATTACGGCTGAATAAACGTCAGTGAAACGCTTTGAGGATGAATGGTTCCTCTCTCTGGTGATCGACTTGTCAACACTGTGTTTTTGGTCATTTTGTGTTACCCTGTTTGCACAGATGTGGTGCTTCACTCCATTGTATGACCCGCCACATCCTTTAATAGCATTTTGCATGAACGATTTAGAGAATAATACTATACATTGGGCAGGTAATTGCATTCAGAACTTAAGCCAATTGAAAGTCGCTTTCACCGTGTTTTCGGTAAGAAATATTAACGTGTTATTGCTGTTGATGTTGAAATCGTTCCTGATTGTTGAATTTTAATTTCTAACGACAAAAGGTTTGATTCTAAAATAATGCATTATGTGAATGTCGCTGCTGAGTTGTCATAAAACCTGCATGCAAGTGATTGGAATGGATTCATGAATATACATAAGTGAAGTATTGGTATTTAAAGGGCCAGTGTAACAGAAATACCCCGATTGGCATCGGTAATCTGCCCGTCAGAGCTCATCCCTGGACTGGACTGTTTACCTTCCGAATGCAGTTTCACATGCAAATGAGTCATGAATATTAATGCACCCTAAATAGCCCGGATGCGGAAATGTATGCAGGATTTTCTTTTGATGTCATAGAAGAGTTTTATTTATAATTTGAAATGCATTTAAACACAAATACGCATTGCTTAATTGTTGTCTTCTGAGCATTGATGTCGTATGTTGTTTTGAATGTGTGTAAAATGTGTTCTTGTTTGATTATGTGAGGTCTGCTTCTTTGCATGTGCTTACTATGCTTACTATCTCCCAGCTGTCATTGGTCCCCTGAGAGAGACAGGGTTGGGCTTGCATATCTTATGAGGGGTGTGTCCATGGTCCATCATCTGTCTGTCCAGAGTGGGTGTGTCCGCCAGGTTGTCTGCACTGTTGTAGATGTTATCGGTCTCGCATAATGCTCCTCTACGTGGCAGTTAGTGTACACAGAAATCAATTCACCTGTTACAGACAGTACGTCTGAGTGGATTCTGCCAGAAAGCGTAGTGTCTGTTTTGGAGCAAGTGCATGATTTATGTTGATCTATTCACAAAATTGTTGTTAAGACTCCATAACAAACAAATGAAGCATGTTAAACTACATCCCATGTCACAACCTCATTCAAACACTTTTTTCCCCTCCTAGGATTGAGTGAGATGTGAGGGATGGTCAGTGTATAAATATCTCTTTGGAACTCTGTGTGCTGTGCGTAAGACTTCTGTGCCCAGCCGTCAGTATGAATGGGGACATGCCACATGTGCCCATCACATCCCTTGCTGGGATCGCTGGTCTCACTGACTGTAAGTACACTCATCACACTACTCGTCATTCACATTTTCAGCGGCATTAGTTCTGGAAGTATTTTTTCTATTCATCTTTCCCATTGGGATTTTAAAAAGGTTTTTGTTAAAACGTTGCAAGCCGTGAACTAACCTAACATAATCACAACATTATAAACCTTGATTTGGAGCAAAAAATATTTGAAAATCGGGCAAAACAACAAAGGTTCAAGACTGTGACATAAGGGCTTTAGTGAGGGAAGGAACTACAATCGCATAAAACATTGCAAATGACAATCAAATTAAAATCAATGGAGAAATAGAAAACTTAATTTAAAGATATATATATGCAAAAACATATATATGCAAATATTTAAGTATTAAGGGAGACCGACTCGAACTGTACTGGGCAACGCTGGTAAAATGACGCTACCCTCCAGTGTTGCCAACTTCTTTCAACTGAAAGTAGCTAAAGCCCGCTTGAAAAATCGCTAAATGTCACTAGATGATGTCATATGCTAATTAGCATATTCACAGTGTCATTGCGTCATATTGCCTTTTACATTTGTTTGCCTCTCTGTGCTCACAAACTGTATTTTAAAGCAGCCAAATTGTCAATAAAACAGTTTTCACTGATATATTTTTCTGTTTCTGTTGTCAGACAACGAGATGAATATGAAATAGTGACTGAAACGCGGCCCATTAAGACTTAAACCTTAGATGTTAATCTGCACAAAAATCCCGATTCATAATCAGGATGTCGTCTAATGAAATCAAATACACGTAAGATAAAGACTATATAGTAGTAAAACACATGTGAACAGTAGCCTACTTTTTGATCAGTTCATCAGTAATATTCAGGAAATAGTAGATATTGAATTGATGTTTGAACTTATTTACATGTTTTTTTTTTGTCTTTTTATCCTAATTCCAAATGATCAGAAAAGAGGAAACCACCAATAAAATAGGAGAAAGTACTAAATTATTACTATATTACAATACTATATAGTAGTAAAACACGTGATTTACAACTTGTGTAAATTATTACAATTACAACATTTGTTTAAACGAATACTGTATAATTCGTTTGCACTGTACTGTAAATTAAAACTGAAATTTCTAGTGTCACATAGGCCAAAACATTTCAATTGGCTATTGAACTAAGTGTGCCTGTAAAAGGCTATTAGTGTTATAGTTTCATGAAAATAGTTGGTTTTCTTAACAACTTTTACTTATTAAATTTACACTTATATACATTTTTAAAAAAGTTAATCCATTGATGTGCATTAGATGATGAATTGAATAGTCACCTCTGCTATTGTAGGTTATGTTTTAGCCATCAGAAAATAATTGAGGAATTTTGAGAGGTTATGCTATTACACATACATTTCTAACATGTAAATTATTGAAGCCAAATACTTGCATTTCCCCAAGCTGTTTAGCTGTAGTACAGTATTAATAGGCTTAATCGTGCAGCATACAGTGGCCCCACTCTCTCTTTATATTACCCTTATTGTAGATGGATGCACAGAGGAAGACGAGTAAGAAGTGCAGTGTGGGAGTACTACACAACCAACACCAGGAAAGGCAGTTTTTGTCAAAGCCCTTGTTATTCTTAATTTTGACATTAATTTTAATTTTTACACCAGACATATACAGTATATCGGTTCAAAATATCGGTTATCGGTCTACTTGATCTGTAATAATAGATATCGGCATCGGCCCTGAAAAACGCATATCGGTCGACCCCTACTTAAATGTCACTAAGTTGGCAACTAGGGATGTGCCGATCCAATATTCATATCGGGTATTGGCTCCGATAGTGCCATTTTTCTCGGATCGGGTATCGGTCAGAGAGGGCCGATCCGAATCAGAGATTTTTATTTTTATTTTTTTTCCGATTGTGCGAATTATTCGGTGTTACTTCTGAAGCCATACGATAGCTTAATGTGAGCTACATATGAATATTTAAGTCCTTACATTAAAGTTCACACAAACTCTTTTCTCCGCTGTGGCTGTCAGTCATTCGTTCAGCCTTTAAACCCTGGTCGCATTCAGTTACGACAGTCAGTTTGGTAAAGCTCTCTCCAAGATCATTCTGTGTTCCCATTATACTTGATTTGTAAATACATGTCTATGATTTTGCAAAAAGGACTTTATCTTCTTGCCGCAGTTTAATGTTGTTTTGTTACTTGCTACCGGGTGTCTGTGAGAACAAAACACGGGCGTAGAAAAGACTATAAATTGTTTTTAACGTGCACAGTAACTGAAATTTAAAACCGTTAAAAGAAAGGCTCTATAACTGTTGCAAAGATATATAATACACTACGCATCAATTTCTCTTCCCTTTGTGCTTTGCAGTTTTTAACACGAATCGGTTACAATGTGCGCATCCGGTGTGCAGAATGATGCGCTTGAAGCAACACGGACGCAGGCTGTGACAACACTTTTATTTGTTCCCCACAAAATATAGTTTTTTCACTAAATGTTTGGATTTCTAAAATTATTGTGCACTGATTTTTCTAGAATAACTTTTGCTGCCGAATTATCCACTAACCTAGTTTATGATAAATTTTTGTCATAGATTATGAATATACATAGGCTTATATTTTTTCATATTTGTTTAGTTTATTTTTCTTTATAATGAAGTAGTCTGTATCTAGTAGATTGTGAAAGAATGATTATCAGTTCTACACACAGAGATATATAAATTCGACATTTATTTAAATAAGGGAAAAAAACTTCACTGGTATCGGATCGGGATCGGTATCGGCCAATACCGAACCTTAGGTATCGGAATCGGAATCGGAGGCGAAAAAGGCGGATCGGAGCATCCCTATTAGCAACACTGCTTCCCTCTCGTGACGCTATGCTCTGCTCACATGCTCTGATAATAATAGCTTTGTAGGACTATACATTATTTGAATAATTAGTCGAGAATTTTCTTTTTAGATCTGATTCTTTTGCATAGAACTGAATAAAAATAATATTGATATTTAATTTTAATATATTTTTTGTCGTATTTTATTGTTTTACTTTTAATAAAAGTGTGGTTATTTTATTGGCTTGTATTTTTTTTTAATTCAATGTCATTAAAATTGAGTTAAATTAAAGTCTTAAATTATTTTATATTATTTAATACAATTATAAATAGGCCTAATTATTAAAAGCATCTTCGGTTTTGGGCCAAGTGCATCCAGAATTTTTGTTTTCTACAATATTGTGGGAAGCAGACCATTGGGCATAATGGTCATTGTAGGTCTTAAAGGGGTCCTATTATGCTTTTTCACTTTTTAAACTTTAGTTAGTCTGTAATGTTGCTGTTTGAGCATAAAAAAGATCTGCAAAGTTGCAAAGCTCAAAGTCCAATTCAAAAGGAGATATTTTATTTAATAGAAATCACTTTTCAAAAACTACAACGAACGACTCGTTTGGACTACAACACATATTTTCCGGGATTTGTGATATCACAAATATCGACGAATGAGACGAGACCTGGTTGAGCTGCACTAGAGAAGGCACCGAGTGTTATCACTATTTCGGAGACACGCTAGATTTCCCAAGGCAGACGAACTTAGAGTGGTTACAATCATTTAACCCCGGGTTTAAATTGCGCTCAAATTGATTTGATTTTGACGCAATATTTACACTGAAGCTCACAGGCGACTATGGTAAGGGGCATGACATTTCCCTACCAGGCGCCGAGTGCTGCCAATCACAACACACACTGGCCCAGCTAACCAATCACAACACATTTCGTATTTCAGAAGGCGGGCCTTCATTTGATACAGGAACTATTCGAGCCGTTCATGCCAGACTGGGGAGAGAGGTGTTGTGATTATGTAATGTAATAATGTAAAATATGTGAAAAATAATGTGTTTTTCGAACAGCCTAGTATGAGAGCCTGTTCTAGTACACCCCCAAAACAAAATCAAGACTTTGTAAAAGAGCATAATAGGACCCCTTTAAGTAGAGCCCGACTGATATATCGTTTTGCCGGTATTATCGGCTGATATGAGCCTGAATATGCCACCGATATGAATTTTTTTTTACAGAACATATAACGCAGATAAAATGTTTGAAATGGTGTAATTACTTAGTTTCTCCAGCAGAGCGCTCCATTGTTTGCTACTGGCGACCTGGATGAAACGCTTTAAAGCTTAAGTCTATGGAAAACCATTGAAATTTTGAACGGCCATATCTCTGTAACAGTGCGGCGAATCCGCACCAAATTCGCGGGATCCTTTCAGCTTGAGGAACCCTCTCGCGAGATAGTGACACCAGTCAACACTTTTACTTCAGTAAGGAGGTCTCTTGTTCAGGCAGCAGCATTCAAGCGTTGTCTTATTTGACCGTAAGTGCCCTGCGAAGTAGGGATGCAGCGATTAACCGGTTTCACAATTAACCGCGCTTTAAAATGTCACGGTTAATTAATCGTAAAGGCTCTGCTACACCAAGTGTTTCTGTTGCACAGAACAGAACAGTTGCAACGTGCGGAAAACGAAAACAAAGTTAAACTAGCGGTGCACCAGCTTTAAATGCTGTGCTTATCAGAGACACGGAGGCTACTACACACACTAGATTAACTATGACAGGGGAACCAAACAGCGATCCTTCTAGTCGATAGTGTGGGACCATTTTGGGTACACCAAGAATGACCAGGGTGTCATTTAAATATTGCCGTAAAAACTGCTGCTAAAGGGCGAATACTCGGCTTTAAACTATTTTAATGCATGACGTGAATGCAAGACTGATGCGAAGCTACAGCTCGTTAGCTCAGTATTCTGCCCACTTTAGAGCAGACAGAAGAAATAGTGTGGTAAGATAACATTTATTTGAATTAATTATAACATTTAGCTACTTGAATTAATTATTCGATCGAGAGCGAGAGAGAAGTGTGTGTGTGTGTGTGTGTGTGTGTGTGAACCTGCGTCAGCGCGTCTCTCTACAAACATGTGAGTTTAGTTACTTAAACAGTGATTTTTACCCTCTCCTTGCTGGTGAATATGTAGCAATTCAGTATCTAAGCTATTTTATTAATAAAGGTCACGGGGCAGGGTTCACAACAAGTTTGTGTCCTCGTGAATGTTTGCATGTGTGCGCAGCGCAATCTCCGATCACACAAACTAAAATAATAGACATGATTTTCTCAGGCCACATGTAAAATCATATGAGTTATTATAAAAATTATTAAAATGAATACGTATGGATGACAGTTGATTACAATGATAGTTCAGTTTATTCCCCTCATTATTAATAGTTTCCCCTGTATGGTAAATAAAGTTAATTGTCCTACTTTAATAATACTTATTAACATTTATCTATAGTATTATGCATAAGTCAAAAACCAACAAGATTTTTTATTTTTCACCATGTTTCCAGTTTTCTGCCTCAGGTCCAAAAGAAATGTAAAGAATGTACAAACTGAAAACACTAAATACTTTTGTGATCTATTTTCATTAGTTATTTTCAAAATGGAAATACTGACATGGATGTTTACAGAGCAGAGGTCACCTTTTTAATTCCATTTGGAGAGATGGACTTTTGTTTGTCTTTATTATTATTTTGTGCTGTATTTAGGGCTGGGTATCGAGTTCGATACTTTTTAGGCACCGACCGAATTGCCTCGTAACTATCGAGTATCGAAAAACGTCTCGTCATTCGGTACCAAATTTCGATACCTAAGGGGTTAATCTCATCAACGTCAGTGAGCCGTAGATCGATCAGTGTTTGACATCCACGAGAGCGATGCGAAAACGTACGGAGCAGTCTGCTCGTGGTATTTTACTATAGCCTAATACACCGATAGGACTGCACAGTCGGTCCGCGACTGTGACACTCAGAGATGTGGCACACACATGAGTATTTAGTGTGAATGCGTCCCAGCCCCGTAGCTGTAAGGCTACATTTATACTGGTGCGCTTTTGTTTTAAAATGAAAACGATCCTTGTCATACTGACGTTTCCACTGCGTTTCAAGCCGGCTTTCCACTATCTCCGACAAATGACAGACCGAAAGTCATTAATTTCCAGTGGAGTGTAGAGCGGGAGCTGTGTAGAGTTTCAATCATATGCACATGTCCGTTCATACTAAAAGACCGAAAGCGCGTGTTATGTGACCATTCATGCACACTGTAGCATCATGCTGCATAAGACCAGGGTTTAAATTGGGCCGGGCTGTCTGGGGCTGAACCCCGGCACTTATAGACTCCAGGGCTTGACATTAACTCTTCATTAACGCCAGACAAGTAACATGATTAAAACATCAGTATCCAAAAATAACTATGTAAACACCAAAATGCAGTATTATTCTGATTTTATTACATTTAGAGTAATGGCGAATAGTGGATATCTAATGTATATAATGTATTTATTGACAGTATAAGGTTGCGCTGCTGAGGCGAGGTAAAAAGGTAAAATGGAAAGTTTTTATATTTAAAATACAGTTAGTTAGGCAACATCACACAACGTTTTCACCATTACGAGTGTTTAATAATAGTTCTATAAACAGTTCAATAAGCAAATACAATAATATTAGGTCAGTTATATTTTAGGCAGAAACGGCGCATCTCACAGCAACCAGCCGATTCATTGCTGATTGATTCCGTGTTTTGAATGAATCAGTTGAGTCAAAGTTTCATTAGCCCATGCATAAACATCTGATGAATCTGCCGTTTGAACGAATCGTTTGAATGAACGACTCAATGACTCACTCATTAAACGCTCACTACTGGCACCTACTGGCGTATTAATTTAGTTGAAAAGTATCATTTCCACCATAATTTCTTGTTTGTATGTTAAAAAATATTTAAAATAATCTCATAATAATTATTTAATGCTGTTGTATTTTTCAGTGTCAATTGAATTTATAGATCAATTGTAAGAATTTGAAATGAAAGTATTAATGAGATTAGTGGGAATAGAATAAATCATTTGCACAAAAAAACAAAACACACACATATGTATATATATATATATATATACATATGTCCTCATTAGTGAGACGGCAGAGGGTAATATCACCGGAAGCGTCACGAGCATTTCAGTACAAGTACTACACAAAACCGGGCGGGCCGCCCCCCTAAAATAATGGCAGGGGAAACACTGCATGTCTTTGTCACGTCATTAAGTGTTTGATCACTACATTTGATCATTGCAAAAAATGTGTTTATGTATATACAGTATATTGTTTATGTATATACTGTATTCTATATATAGTACCAGTCAAATGTTTGGACCCTCGAATGGGAAAGTGTCCAAACTTTTGACTGGTACTGTACTATAATATACACAAAGAATATCGGCCGATATATCGACATCAGCCTTTTTTTTACTCCCTAATATCGGTATCAGTATCGGCCCCGAAAAACCCATAGCGCTAGGCTTATGAATGGTTTCCTTTGAAAAATGTTTATAATAAAGATTTTATGCTTTTTTTTTTTTTATTAGGCATTATAAAACCATTTATCATATACTGTAGTACTGAACTGACGTGTTGTCACAGGTATGCGTGTATCTTCTATTTAAAATGGGTAATTGATCCTATCAGAATTTAAAGTTTAAATGATCTATTTTGTAATTAAGCAATGCGCTATGAGAGACTTGAATGCTTTGTTTTTATAAAGCTCTTACATCATTATAAAATTATTATATATATTTTTTCCATTATTTACACTACCATTCAAAAGTTTGGGGTCGGTCAGATATAAGTCACTTCTGCATCCCAAGGATGCATTTATTTAATCAAAATACAGCAAAAATAATAATAATATGAAATGTTACTATTTAAAACAACTTTTTAAATTTGAATATATTTTAAAATGCAATTTATTCCTGTGATGCAAATCTGAATTTTCACCATCATCGTCATACTCCAGTGTCACATGATCCTTTAGAAATCATTCTAATATGCTGACTTGCTGCTAAGAAACATTCCTTATTATTATTATCGATGTTTAAAATAATAGTGCTGCCTATATATATACATATATATATATATATATTGAAGCATTTTAAACCATCACTTGATCAATTAAAGCATCCTTGCTGAATTAAAGTATTCACTTCATCCAGAAGCAATAAAACTAGCATATCCCAAACTTTTGAGCGGTAGTTTTTTATAGACAATATGTGGTGTGGTATGACACATTTTCTTTTCAACATTATTTTATTAAATAAATTAATTTGTTCAAGGATATTCTTTTGGTTATTGTCCAGTAATGATACAGTACATTTTAAAATCACTGATTTCCAGCATTAATGACTGCATTGTATATTTTATGTTATAACATATTTTACTCATACTGCAAAATAAAACAGTGCACAATAATCAATAATTGTCATACTAAAAAGGTTATGTTCTTTAAGTCATTATATTTCTTTAGCTTTAAATAGATATGATAGGTTGATTTTGTCTAATGATTAAATGTTACTTTGGTGCTGTTTAATGCAGTGTAATTGTTTTTATAGTTTCATTGTTTTCCTGTTATAATCAATTTTTGAAACAGTTGTGCTGCTTAATAGTTTTATGCAAACCATGATGCTTTTTTTTCAGGATTCTTTGAATAGAAAGTTCAAAAGAATGGCAGTTATTTGAAATAAAGATCTTTTGCTGCAGCATCCGGATTATCTTCAGGTTTAGCTGATAAGAAGTTACTTTCTTGGACTCTGATTCATGTACACTATGAAGAGGGGATTTTAGATTGCCTGCGTCAGAACATCACTAGCTACAATTTAGGTGGCTGTTAGATTTCCACCCTGGGTGTTTTTATTATTAAGAAAGCTTTGCCACACTCTGTTTGTGTATACAGTATTGAACCAGCTGCCCCTGCCCTCCCCTTTACCGGGCACCACCACTAAGAGCCTGCTGTACAGCGGGCGTGTAGCTGAGGAAGTGGGCCACCTGATGGGCTGCAGGGATGAAACTCTGGTCTCTCAGCTCGCCAATGCCCTCAGCCAGGTCTCCATGGAGCACATGTGAGTTTCTGCTTACGTTTGCCCTTTACATGCACCACTCCTCTGTATGCCTGCTCTGTCCAAATCTAACTCTCTGCACATGCAGGTCTATCTGCCCCATAAAATTAAAATTTTATTTTTTTCAAATTCCATGTTTTCTGTTTTCATTTTTCTGAGTTCTGTTTTGATGGTTTAATTAAATTGTAATAACCAAAAAATATGTCTAATTAATTGAACTCATAAATCTTGAATTACTTAATAAAACAAATTCTGATGAAAATAGGGCCCAATGAAATGTTTTATCTTTTCAGAAATTGTGTTTTATGATTTAATAAAAATGTATTATCAAAAACGGTGCAAATCAAATGAATGCATAAATCTTTTGAAGTGTAATCAAATGAAATGTGATCAATTCCTTTAAATTTTTAACAAACAATTAAAAGTGCTGCACAAAATAGGTTTACATTTTAAGTGAAATTTTTTTTTATATTCCTTAAAAATGTTTTAATAAACTATTATTGTTGTTGCTACTTTGAAAAGTATATTCTGCATGTACAGTAGTTATATACTTGTCACAATTTCTTCAAGTTAAACCAAACGTTTATTTTTATGGGTTGTAGTGGAGACCTTTGAGATTCTGTGTGTTTTATCAAACTAAATGGTGAAATGCTGATGTCCTCAAATGAGACGACAAATGCTTAAAACACCACAAGCATCAAGAATGTGTAATAGACAAAACTGTGCCACTCATTCACGCATGCAGACTTCATATCTAAATAGACTTTTGCAGTTTAATATCCACAGACTCTAGTCCATAGCACGGTTTGATTAAGTGCACAGCCAAATTATCTGAAAGTCTGGTGTTATAAAGTAAATGTAATTTTTATGACTGGATTCTGTGATTCTGACAGTATTTTCTGCATTCTGGAAATCATAGGGCCCTATGTACTCTTTCAGTGGTCTGTGAGTGTGTAAATTCTGATATGTTTTTTCACAGAGAGCTGAAGGACAACCTTGGCAGTGATGAGTTGGAGGGAGATGTACCAGTTCTGCTGCAGCTTTTGCTGTCTAGGAACCCCAACATCTTCAGGAATAAGACCGCGCCCAGCATTCCCCAGTATGCGGACCAGGCGGGTAAGAGTCAATCCGAGCTTGTAGGGAAACTAATACTACTACAAGCTTAACAGATTGCACTTGCAACAATGCTTAGTTTTGGGTTGCTAGTTTGCTGTCAGGTAACTTTCACCCAAGCAATTAAATATAATGAAATATGTGAATCTGTCTACTAGGGTTGTGACGGTGAGGAAATTTTCCCACCGGTTAATCGACGTGTGACAACACCGGTAATACCGGTATCACGGTGGGGGTGGGGGGTGTTAGTTCGTTTGAGTTTCCCTCTTTTTTCTTCGCTTTCAAATGGCTTGTAAAAGTGCAGTGCGCATTTTACTTTCACTGTCTAATGAGCGGCAATTCGGCGTTGATTCAATTCAAGCAACAACAACGTCAAACTCAGAACTTTTATTAACAAAACGAATAAAAATACACCATATATGTCTAATAAAATAACAAATTACTTGGGCTACACAAAGTTTAAATGGGTATATAAAACTGAAAATCAGCAAACACTGTGGAACCAAATAAATAAGAAACGAATGTTTAAAAAAACTTCCAGTCAATAGGCTTTTCTAAATCTAAAATATTGCCAAACAGGCTCCTTTGCATTTCCTTTCTAAACAATCTTCTGCCATCGTCTTGTCTTTCTCACCTCACTCTTGTCAGTCAGCTCGACTCCCTCTCCTCACGTGATAAATAAAATCTGACTCCTGCTCCATGGTGCACTGTCGTTCGCACACGGTTCGACACGCTGCATTGAGCGTTTAAATTTTAATAGTGTCTGTCCTCTAACTGAAATAGGCTAAATGATTTTTGTTACTATAAAAAAATCGAAACGACGGTGGGGGGCGGTGCCGCGGTAGGCAAATGACGTAACCGGTGTGTAGCAGGAAGCCTACTGTCTACAGAATGTTTAGTTATCTTTGCAGCTTGTGTCCTTCTGATAAGACAGACTTTGCCTCCCTTTTCTTTCCCAGAACATGTTAATTTTTCCACCAGAACTACAGAAAGAGGCATTGTTTTTTTTTTTGACCTTCAGTTATTCAAAGAAAATAACATTTATGAAACGACGGAAGAAAGAAACAAAACTAAATTATTTCTCCGTAATCTGTGGTATGGAGAAATAAATCTTTTGATTTTGTTTCAAGTTATGTATGTCAAAAAAAGGAGTTTTGTTAATATGAAAAGCATGTAAATGGAGATATTTTCCACATCTAATACAGATGCCACTGCACCATTCTTCAGCAAAAGCCTCTTTACAAAGTCTGCATTACATTGACAGCATCACAAAACAATACAAGCTGATTTGTGCCAGAACATGTGTAGTGTGAATTTAGAGTATCATTGTATAGCACATCAAATTTGTCATTAAAAAAATATTTATAGCCCCATTAGTGCTTAAAAGTACATAGAAAACTTTTGGACAACATACATTACTTTAACATGTGGTGATGGAATTGGCACATACAAATGCATGAAAGAATTTAAAAAAAAAGGAATATATTAAATATAACAATTCTTTATATAATATAATTTATTATATAAATATCTAATATCTATTTAATAAATATTTATTGTTTTAAGTTTTGCGACTTCATTGCATTGACCTTTTGACTGAATTATTTAATTCTTTGCTATTTTCCTACATAGCAGCAAAGATGAAGTAATGGTTTTACCTGGCTCATTGGAACCTTGACTGTGTTTTTAGCTTTTTAAAATGGTCTTATAGTTGCTTTTCTGCCTGTGTTGTTTCTCATCCAGACTATTTTTCACATTCTTATCACAGGTATAAGTCAGCAGTCAATGGCACCGCCGTATAAAATCACGCATGGCTCCATGCAGGGAAGTCCAGCTTCTGCCAATTACCAGGCCTCTATGTCCCACAGCCCCTCTGGGTGAGCCTGCCTTCTAATTCAGTTTTTTATGTGGAGTAACTTATGCTTCTATTTGTGTCACGTATAGTTTGTTTTCGTTGTATGAAGCTAACCAACAACTGCTGTTATTTACAATTAAAGCCATCATCCAGCTTGTTTCATTATAATGTGTGTGATTTAATGTGCATTTGAATTGGTGTTAACCATTAATACTGTGCTAAGGAGAAAGCAAATATAAAAGTCATGATTAATCAAAAACCTGAGATTTTGTTATTGCGTAGTGTGAATATCAAATCGTAAAGGCTGAATTAAATGTGCTGCATGTTTCCGAGTGAAGCGAGTGTTTTTTACACGGAGGCAGCTCATGATCTGGTGTTTTCAGTACACAGTAAATACTACTCTACACATGTGCTCTGAGTTTGGGTTTTGCGCCAGCCATCTTCCCGGACATGCAATGAGGACCACTTATAAACCAGCTGTTGTCAACAAAAGAGAAACTTTGAGGGCCCTCTGTGGTTTTCAGATAAAATAAAGCTTGATTGTTTAAAGTTTGAATAAAAAAAAATTACAATAGTAATATTTCTTGTTTTAATTTTTATTAAGTGTTTATCATTTGCATTTCGATTTTTTTACAAAATGGAATTTTAATTCTCAATCGTAATTTTTATAAGAAAATCGTACAGCTCTACGTTAACATCAAACAGTTTTATAATTCTATATTTTTGGCTACACTTTCATTTTCTTGTGATGAAGAATATTTTCTTTTAAGAAATAATTTGGTGACTGAAACATATGCTGATAAATATCCCCTTTGTGTGACATTTTATATGAGGGCTAAACAAACTGATTAACTATACATTATCGTTGACATTTTTGAAAAAAGTATTTTATTCTCATGAAGGCTGCTTTTATTTGATATAAAACACAGTGCAATTTAAAATAACTGTTTTCTATTTGAATATATTTAAAAAAAAAATGGTTTATTCCTAAAATAAAATGTTTCAAATAAATAGCTTGATGTTTATTTTTTTTAATGAATCAGTGTTGGCAAGTAGATTTAGTAAAAACTCTGTTGACCATGTCCCCTCCTTATGATAGGCGTTTTGTGCCGGGACAGTCTGGTTCTGGTGGACGGTTTTTGCCTCAGCAGAGCAGCCCAGTGCCCAGCCCTTATGCCCCTCAGAGCCCTGCTACCAGCTACAGACAGTATCCACACCCTCCAGCCTACAGTCAACACCAGCACCTACAGCAAGGTCTGCACAAAGATGCAAGCATAGGCAGATCTGTACAGAAGCTCTTTCATTGATCGAGACCTTTCTCAGTTCTCTGGCTCATTTGGACTTCATTCTGTTTTTCCCAGGTTCAGTAGCAAGCCCGATGATTCCAGGAGGCATGAGAAATGTTCACGAGAATAAGGTATTTAAAAGGCTGTTCTGCATTAATAGTCAAGCAACATATCGCCAGTTTTTCTGTTTGGCTGATGTGTTAGAAGCGGGACTTTTATTTTGACAGCGCTGATAACGCCAGCGCCTGTGTGCATGGAGCTCCCATTCTGTTAAACAAAGAAAGTAAATGGTATACAAAAACAAAGCATTTAATTTTGTTATTAGTAATAGGCAAATGCTACAATACTTTCTCGTCTACCATCAGCGTTCAACAAGTATGCATTTCTATAATTTAATTAAAGTCATGTTTACTGTGTGCTGTATGTGAAATTAGCACTACCTTGTCTTTATTTGACTAAAATGTAATTCCCAGTGCGCATAGACTTACAAGATTGTATTCTAAGTGCACTGTGGTTACAATGTTTACTTCCTGTTTATTCAAATTTGTAACGAATTCATTGTAAAAATACTGTTAGAATCAAGAATTTGCCATCTAAATTAATCTGTTTATTTTGCAGATTTTTTAAAATAGTTAAAATTATTTTGAATATTTCATATTCATTTTCAAATTATTTTTAATTTAGTAAATCCTTAGTAATTTAGTTTAGTAATTTAGTAAATATTATGTAAAATAAATATAAATTTAGCAGTTGTTATATAGGTATTTTTACTGTAATATATGCTTTATATCACCAATTTGCAAAACGATTAGATTTCCTGTGCGCTCAGACTTACCAGATTGTACTGAGTGCACTTTTGGTTATAATTTTGTTATTCTATAATAAGATTACAGAATCACAAAGCAGCCATCTAAATGAATCGGTTTAATTTACAATTTTGTTTTCAAATTCAGAATATTTTTTCATATTCATTTTCAAATTATTAGTAAATGTAATATTATTTGTAAAAAATTTTACTATACATTTTACTGTATTTGAAATTTATTTTAACCTTATTTATGCATTTATTTATTTATTTTTAGTACAATTTACACATTTATTGGCTATTGGCCACCCTGTTCTCTAAGATTTCGTCATCAGCCATAAAAAAAAAATACAGTTGCCAAAAAAAATCTATATAATAAATAAATCAAAATTGGTTGACCACTTTTCTTTATATAACAGTAACTCTTTAAGAAGGTGTTCTGATTGTGTATTCCTCTGAAAACCGTTAGGATCAGATGAGGGCGGGTTTCACGTCTCACATACTGCAGTCATCTCCACCTTACACTCCACCTTGCGATGGGGCTCAAGAATTGCATCTGGGCTCCCCGGACAAGCAGCGCGGTCTGAAACCCAACGAGGGAGAGCGGGACTCGGCCGATAAGGCTGCGGTGTATGATATTGTGGGGTCGCCGACAAAAGACCCCACTAAGCTGATCCTGAGGCAGTCACGGGCCAGGCCAGCAGAGGTGGAGCTTGGGGTAATGTACCCTGGTTCGGACCCAGAAGGAGAACTTGTAGAGGCTCTTGCTGCAATAGAAAGGATGGAAAGTGAAGCGGCCATGGAAACGGAGCGTGGTGCTAAAGAGGTTCAGGATAAAGGTATGATGCAGGATGTCAGTAAATACATGGTCTCCAAAACTGATTGGTGCACTGATATAGAAACTTATATATAGCATAGATACATGATACATACAGATAATTACTTTTATGTTATGGAGTATAGTTATTGATATATCAATCATCCCTAAAATCCCCTTTCCAAGACGTATACAGGCTGAACACAGTTTAAACAGTTTAGCTATACACTCGTTCAAAGTCGCTTACGCTCAACAAGGCTGCATTTTTTGTTAATAAATACAGTAAAAACAGCAATATATTGAAGCATTAACATTTTAAGAAAAAACTTTTGTTAAAAATGTGATTTATTCCTGTGATGGCAAGCTTAATTTTAAGTATCATTACTCCAGTTTTCAGTGTCACATGATACTTCAGAAATAATTCTAATATGCGGATTTGCTGCTCAAGAAACAATTCTTATTATTAGCCATGTTGGAACCAGTTGCGCGGTTTAATATTTTGTGGAAACCATGGCAATTGTTCTTCAGGATTTTTATCAGTTGAAAGTTCATAAGAACAGCATTCATTTGAAATAATATTTTTGGTAACGGTAGTTACAAAAACGTTTTTGCTTTCACTTTTAGTCAACTTAATGCATTCCTGCTGAATAAAAGTTTTAATTTCTTAAAAAAAAACAACTTTTGAATGGTAGTGTAACTGCAAAAATATTTGAATCATATTTCAGTGCATAATCAAAAGAAAGAAAGAAGAAATTGTGCTTTTTTTCAAAAAGAAAATGAAGCCTGTTATGCCTTTATGACTCATGTTTTGACATTATTTTCATAAATAAGAACCCTCCCTCAATTTTCATAATAAAAATTATGAATTTGATCTCTTTCTCATTGTAGATAAACCTTTGAAGAAGCGCAAACAGGACTCTCACCCTCAGGAGCCTGGCGCAGCTGGCACAGCCGGTTCAGGATCTGGGGCTCCAGGTGGAGGAGGAGGGGCTAACGCAGGGCACAGGCTCGCCCCTCAGGAGGCCAGCGCCGCAGGCACCAGCGCCAGCCGCCCAGGCCTGCAAGTGAGCTTGGAGCAAGCGGGCAGAGCGGAGGACGCCTGCATGGGCATGCCCATCCCAGCCAGCGAGGCTCAGCGCTGGCCTCAAGAGCCGCAGGAGGGCGTCACCCCGAAGGCCCTCAAACACAAGCATGACCACGCTCCAGAACACCAGCATCAGCCTGATACCCCGCGACAGAAGCACAGACCAGAGGTTCGGCATGGTGATGCTGGCACACAGCGTGCAGCTCAGTCGGGGAGTAAACCAGTAGAGCTTCCTCCGTACATGCTGGGTGAAAACACCAGTTCGGGAGTGCTTAAAAACTTCACCATTCCCAAAATCAGGAAAGATCTCGGAGGAGGAGATATTCCAGAAGGCTGGAAGCAGCCATGTGTGCGGCTGGAGAGACTGGAACCTGAGATGGACATGAAGAAGACTGTCAAGCCTGTGGTCGTTCTGCAGAAACTCTCCATCGATGAAGTGCAGAGGCTTATGAGGGAGAGAGACTCGCGCGGCTCCAAGTCTGGCAAGAACAGGCTCTCCTCTGGGAGATCTGGGAAAGGTAGGGGAACTCCTTTTATCTTTGCTCTTTCCAGTTAGAATGAAGGTTTCTACTCTGAGTACATCATGATGGGTTTTGCTTTCGAATTGAACAAACAACCAGGCAAGAAGATGTATTACTTGGCTGCTTGTAAAAGAGTAGTTATGCTAAATGGTTCTTGGGTTTTCCAGCTGGTAAGAGCTGAACGGTTACCACTATTTTATTTTTTTTAATGCTTTGAAATGGCTCATTTAAGATGATGTCGCTCATAAGTTTTGAAATTGTGTCTCATTTATGACAGCAGATTTGTTGTTTGATGGGTTAGAATTATAGAATACGAAAAGGAAGAACAGTAATAATAGTACTGTTAAATAAATGGTTGTATTTATTTCGCTCTTATAAAAATAATATTAAATAATTAGTAAACAACAGCAGGTGTTTTTTTTTTTTTTTTTACATTTGTTGGTATGATTGTCATAATCAGTGTTATTTTAGTTTTATTTTAATATTATTACAATATTCATATTCTGAAAAAGCTTCATTTTATAATTCTGCTTTTCATTTGAATTTTATTTTGTTCTGTTTTTTAGTAAGTTTGTGCTTTTGTGTTTTTTTATTCTTTTTTTATTAGCTTTTGGAGTTTTGTAAATATTTCTATGTAGCTTTGTTTTTTATTTCAGTTAGCTATTTTAGTCCTTTAACTTGTTTTATTTCAGTTAGATGCCAAGGCATCATTTCTATTTTTTTGTGTAAGTTTTAAGTTTTTCATCCAGTATTTGAATTTTATTTCTGATTTTTCAAATAATGTAAGTGAATTTTTATTTTATTTTTAATTTTTTAGTTTGTTAACAATAACAACAATGGTCACTGTCACAATATAATGCCAGACCAATTTTCCACAGTAAAACCTAACATGCTTTTGAACATACTCAATTATTCAACATTTCTCTGTTAAGATTTTTTTTTATTTATTCCTAAAAAAAACAGTGTTTGTTTTCAGGTGTCTGACAGCAGTATCAGTTAAGTACATTTTGAATGATTAAAAGAATGCAAGAGTAGTTAAATATAAATTTGGGTTTAATATCAGCCCTCTACGAACACCTTGGCAAATGAATCGCCATTGGCTAGTAAATTTTTTTTTGTTTACTCGCCAGACTGATAAATATATATATAAATATATATATATATGTTAGTTTATACCCAAATTAAATTGGGTATAAACTAACAAAAATACTGATTAGATAATAATGATACGAATTCTACTAATAAGAACAATATAAAACGCACCAAGGATTAATGAGCTACTGGATTCATGAATATTAATCAGGTTGTGTGCGTTTGCTCGAACTGATTTGCTGAAATCAAAACAGGGACGATAATAGGTGAGCGCCAGCCAATGAGATTGCCGTTTGCCGAAAGCGGTAGTTCTTAAAAGCGGAAGAATTCCAAAGGAACGCCGTTATTTTGACAGCAAAATATAACAGAATATCGTTTACATGTAGCGCTCATAGGTAGCGCATCAATTCTCTCTCTCCCTCTCTCTCTGCGTGTGTGTGAAACAAAGCGACGTCGAGTCGTGCGCCTTCACACTAAAGTTTACAGTACGTTAAACACAGGTGCGTTGCACATCCATTCAGATGAACTGAAAAACAGCACAGATCGCTTGACGGAGAGTGAAACTCTGAAGCGCTCAGTCAGTGTTCTGTGAGTGAAAATATATCTGTGCTAAACTTATACTTAGCCTCCAACTCACACACTGGCGAATAAAATCTGAGAATTGATTAGCCAGTGGCTAATATTAGACATCATTTAGTTGCCCAGAGTAAGATTTAGTCGCATATGCGAGTGATTTACTCGCAATGTAGAGGGTTGAATATTAAATGTAAAAAAATACGATTTTATTACCTAACAAACAATACAAGCTAAATTAAAAACGGAAAATATTCCCACATGCATATGACTTTTGTCATCTACAACAAAATTATGGCCCTTTGGAAAAACTAGCCTAAATGTAATTCACCATTTTTTTAGTATTAAAGCCATCAAGATTCGCAGACCAACTTAACAAAAACAGTCTTTCTTCATAGATATGATTTTTGACATCGCTGTTTGACTGTGTGTTGAACTATTAAATTATGAAATGTTTGCATGTTGCCATTACTCAAATTGGGTTCTTATTTGGGTTTTGGGTAATAACTTCTACTTGTATTCCAAAGTATCGGTACCTTTGACATCCCTAGTGGTCAAATTATTTAAGCTTTTGAAGATCATTGCGAGATGTTGTTGGTTAATCTCAATTACAGTTGATAATATAAAGGAAAGGAATTCAAAACCTGTGTGTGCTGTAAGCAGTGCAAGTTGAATGTAAGTCTCTGTGCACAGGTGGAATAGACCCGTCAGTGCTGAAGGATCTTCCTCCTGAGCTGCTGGCAGAGATAGAGTCCACCATGCCTCTGTGTGAGCGGGTGAAGATGAACAAACGCAAACGCAGCACTGTCAATGAGAGGCCTAAATATGCGGAGGACAGCTCAGAGGATGAGAAATACTGTGAGTAGCACCACTGTAATGACTACGGTTTTTCATTATGAATCTCAACCTAACTGGACATTGTCTTAGTTCACAAGGTGCATCCTGGGATGCTTTTTAAACAGTACTGAGTTCATGTGCATGCTGGACACTTATTGACTGATTTCCCTTAACTATCTACTACAACACATCCATTTAAAAGAAAAAAAATCAACCAAACTGCAGCCCCCATGCACTGAAAAAAATGGTGTAGGATTTACTTTGAAACAAGTTTCACTCGTAAATTGCTAGTTAATTTCACAAGTGATTACAAAGAATCTGCAAGTAACATTGAATTAAATGTGAAATTTTGAAGCAGAACATGTTCTTATGAAACATATTTCAACAGTCCTTGTTTTATTTACAACTGTCTATACATACATGGGCTCTGTTTTCTGTCCCAGCATCTCGTAAACGTCAGAAGAAGGATCGTGATAGAACGTGGGAGTTTGAGGAGCGCGATCGGAGGAGTTCAGGAGAGCATCGAAGAGGAAGCTACGACGCACGTAGAGGCTCAGGCAGCCGATATGACGAATCTGACCAAGATTCACCTCCTCCCAGCCTTAGTGACGGTTAGCTACAAACTATTCAGTGTCCATGAAATGGATTATTTACTCAAAAATGAAAAATTCAGTCATTTACTCACCCTCATGTCATTGCAAACCTATAAGACTTTTTGTTCCTCCATTGAAAATTTTAAAGATTCAAAAGGGTCTGTAAATTATGTAATGATGACATAATTTTCATTTCTGGGTGAACTATCCCTATGAGCATTTAATTATGAAGTCAAAGTTCTGTATTTGAGATTTTTCTGAAATGTGCTTAAACAGTTTATGAGTGGTTGAGCAAGAGCTTTTTATTATTTCAGTTGCAAGACGTTTGAAGACGAAGGAGAAACAGAAGAAGAGGAAAGCGTATGAGCCCAAGTTAACACCTGAAGGTAAACCCTTTCAACTTCCTCATTGCACCCAATTTTCCCCGTCAGAATGATGCTCATTAAAGGGGTCATATGATGCTATTTTAAAGATCATTATTTTGTGTATTTGGTGTAACAGAATATGTTGACATGCTTTAATGTTAAAAAAACACATTATTTTTCAAATACTGTACATTATTGTAGTTCCTCTATGCCCCGCCTCTCTCAAACATGTCGTTTTCTACAAAGCCCCTCCTTCCGACAAGCACAGTCTGCTCTGATTGGCCAGCTGACCCAGTGCATTGTGATTGGCTGAACACCACAAGCACGCGTTGGAAATGTAACGCCCCTTTCCATAATCAGCTTTCAGCTTTCAACATAAATGTAAAGGCAGTACATAATGTCCTGAGTTTTACCATCAGTTCAAGCCCGAAAGGGGAACAGAGTCGCATTACAGACACAGTGATGATGCTCGTATGTATTTGCAGTACACAAGCCGCGATTAAGAAAGCTGACTCCACTGTGATGTGACCCTGTCTGTCTCTCACGCGCGCACACACACACACGACGCGATACTCTACACGGCGCAAAACTCTGCATTTGAACAGTCAATAGCAAATACTTAAGCTATTAAGAAAACATACTTACAGTAGCTGATTCAGAATAAGCACCAGATTGTCATAGCAAAGTCGGAATTTACCCTTTTTTTTTTTTAAATAGCCTTTGCGCAGACAGCATTGTAGGCTACTGGGTTCACAAAACTGTCATCCATCAAATGCGTTGCACAAATTCGAACATCTGGGTTGTGCTGTTCTGTTGTAAATAAATCTTAACCAGTGATTCCTCATTGCATCTACTTTCGGAAGGCCAAATAAAGTGCTTTTGCTTTCGCACAGAAACACACAGCGTCTCCCTGACATGGCTGCAACAACACTACTGTGGTTCCTGAAACCACGCCGCCTTTCTTTGCATGAACATTTGGGAGGCATTGCGCAAATATTTCCACATCGTGACGTAGAGATGTGGGGGCGTGTTTGAATGAGGCGTTTTAGTCCGGTCTGGAGATAGAATAAATCCTTTTGTGGAAGACTTTGAGCTTTGTAACTCTGCAGATTTTATACATGCACATATAGCTACATAACACACTAAAGAATAGGAAAAATAGAAATCGCATCATATGACCCCTTTAAATCTTTGTACTTGTACATTTTTTTCCCAGAAATGATGGACTCTTCCACTTTTAAGAGGTTCTCATTGAGTATTGACAACATCTTGGAGAATCTTGAGGATATGGACTTTAATGCTCAGGGTAGGACAATTTCTCTCTCTCTCTCTCTCTCTCTCTCTCTCTCTCTCTCTCTCTCTCTCTCTCTCTCTCTCAATCTCTCTCTCTCTCAATCTCAATCTCAATAGATTTTACCACCCTGTATCATATTTGCACAGTGAAACCCAAAACTCAAATGTCAGGCTTTCTCACAAAATAAAACCATTTGTGAGGTGAATATGATTCTGAAGACATTATTATATGCGTAATCCTGATTTCCACTTTTTCCACTCTCTTGCAGATTGTAATTAAATTATACAATTTGAATACTTCTTTTTGTCATTAAAACTTTTGACATTTGACTGAATGTTATTTTGATAAGAGCTGATACATATTTATAATTTGAAAAATCTTCATTCTTATTTTGTGGTGAAAAAAAAAACCTATGTAATGGAAAGTTTGTATTGTTATTTTTGAACTCAGCATCACCAAATAATGTAATAGTAGGCCTTTTTTGCAAATTAGAATTCTTTTAAGATGCAGGTCTGTGTTACAAACTAAACTCTTCGGTCTGATGTGTTTGTGTGTTCTCAGATGACGATGAGATCCCTCAGGAGCTGTTGTTGGGGAAACAGCAGCTAAGTGAATTGGGTAGTGAATCTGCTAAGATAAAAGCCATGGGCATCACCTGCAGGGTAAGAGATACATCACTGTATACTGCCCCTTTTATGTGGTTGTTTAAAAACCCAGTGAAATCCTACTGTAAGTATGGTGGGTGTAGGCTAGTCCATATCCATATCTAAAAGCAAAGGCCATCTGTATGATAGTGCACTCATAAATTTTTAAAAGTTTAGGTGCACTTAAGTTGCATTATATACACTATTATTCAAAAGTTTGGGGTCTGGAATTTAAAAAAAAAAAGTTTTTGAAAGAAGTCTCTTATGCTCACCAAGGCTGCATTCATTTGATTAAAAATACAGTTAGAACAAAAATATTGTGGACATATTAGTTACAAATTAAAATAACTGTTTTTAACTAATTTTAAAATGTAATTTATTCCTGTGATGCAAAGCTGAATTTTCAGCATCATTACTCCAGTCTCATGTGTCACAAGATCCTTCTGAAATAATTTCTAATATCAGGGTTTCTGGGACCTTAAAAAGTCTTAAATTTAGTTATATCAAATTTAAGGCCATAAAAAGTCTTAAATGATACACAAAAGTCTTAAAGATTTCAGAAGGTCTTAAAGGGTTAGTTCACCCAAAAAAAAAATCGGCTTGTGTTTTACTCACCCTCGAAGCATCCTAGGTGTAGTGAATCCTTCTGTAGTTAATCCATGCGTTTTTGTAAGAAAAATATCCATATTTCAAACGTAATAAACACTTTTCTCTCACTTCCGTTATCTTTCGTATGCGGAAGGCGTTCCGACAGAAGGCGTATGACGTATGCGCAGCGCGCGCGCCTCTTGAGATATGCTAGTCTCATGAGTTTGTTTATAGGAGCAAAGGAAGCAAAGTCTCCTTACTTTAGCAAAGGAAAACCAGTCTCCTCTTGGCTTATATCGAAATCCTCTGACATTTTTCTTTGCAAATCTTCGGTTTGTACTTCTAATTCGTGACCGGCGTTTTGCTTTGTTCTTTCTCTGCATTTGTCACTAATCACGCAACCCCGACGTGCTACGTCATCCGCCAACACGGCTTCTGCGAATGACAGTTGGCGGAAGTGATATAAAAGTGTTTATTACGTTTGAAATATGGATATTTTTCTTACAAAAATGCATGGATTCACGACAGAAGGCCTTTATTCACCCCCATGAGCCGTGTGAAGCACGTTTTATTATGAATGCGCGCGCTTTATTTGACGACTTGTGGACTGTTCAGCTGCTATACCCGCGGACTGCAATGATAGAGCTTGGAATAGCCAGGACAATTTTTAATATAACTCCGACTGGATTCGTCTGAAAGAAGAAAGTCATATACACCTAGGATGCTTAGGGGGTGAGTAAAATGCAAGCCAATTTTCATTTTTGGGTGAACTAACAGTTGATGTGCTTTGGATACCTCCCCTCCCCAAGACACCCTGAAAAGTTGGGGACGGAAAGAATTGTGATATGGCTTAGTTTGACGATTAGACTTCAAAAAGCTATAATTTATTCAATTCAAAGGCTCATATTTATTCAGTTGTAAATTGAATAAATATGAGCATTGCACATTTCAAAGTCAGGTGCTGCTGGAAACCGCTATATTTCTGCCGTTCCAAAAGTGCCACCTATTGGCAGAGAATGAATTAGCATTTTCAATAAGCCCTTCTGTTGTTTTTGAAAATAGAGCCATATTTTTACGCAGCAAACACACAGTTTTAAAAGTGAACTGGTGGATCGACAAGAAGCTAATGTTAGTGCATTATAAAATTCTGAACCAGGGGTCGGCAACCTACGGCACGCGTGATAATCGCTGGCATGCAAGCAGTAGGGAAAACTGCATACTGACGTACATTTTGAGGTAATAACTTCTCATAGTCACACAGCCTGTTAGGAGCTATAAATACTATTAAAGTGTGAGAATTAACTTGCGCTAGTCTATGGATGCGCGCGCGACCGCTGCACATACTAGGCGCTTCAGATCAAAGCCTCTGTCAAAACTATTACTATTCACAGAAGCAGAGCGCGAAGCGTCAGTTTAACGTTAAAGAGAGCGAGGTAAGATGAAGCTGCAAATCATTTAATATTAGTCAGCTTTTAAATATACGTTTTATGATAGAAATGTTAATTGACTGACAGCTATATCCAGTGATGCAATCTACTCAAATTATTTTTCTCAAATATGGCCATTTTGAGAGAGAGAGAGATGTGTAAATTGTCTGCGTCTGTCTCTCTCTACAAACAATAAAGCTAAGTTTAGTTACTTAAAAAACATTGCTTTTTGCACAGTGCGATCTCAGATCTCTGTGCGCGCGAGTGGTGTGTGTGGGAGCGCATCAATTAAAGCAGCGCATTAATATAGAGCGGTGATTAAACTTAACAGTTTTAATGCATTGGCCTTGTCACACACACACACACATACAGTGGTGTTCAGTAGGGTCACACTGTATATCTGTTATTCAAGAAGCTTTTGAAAAGTTTAAAAAACAATTTATGAAAAAATCTTCAGAAAAACCATTTGCATGAAAATCAAATAGGCCTATTGTTTTTTTTATTGTATCATTTAAAGGGGTCCTATTATGCTCTTTTGCAAAGTCTTGATTTTGTTTTGGGGGTGTACTAGAACAGGCTCTCATACTAGGTTGTTCGAAAAACACATTATTTTTCACATATTTTACATTATTACAACACCTCTCTCCTCAGTCTGGAATGAAAGGCCCGAATAGTTCCTGTATCAAATGAAGGCCCGCCTTCTGAAATATGAAATGTGCTGTGATTGGTTAGCTGGGCCGGTGTGTGTTGTGATTGGCAGCACTCCGCGCCTGGTAGGGAAATGTCATGCCCCTTACCATAGCCGCCTGCGAGCGTCAGTGTAAATATTGCGTCAAAATCAAATAAATTTGAGCGTGAGCTAGCGTGTCTCCGACATAGTGATAACACTCTCTGCCAAAAAGGGGGTGGGGGGGATTGGCACAGTGGTTAACCAGAAAAATTTAAAATGGCACGTCATGCTGAAAAGGTTGCCAACCCCTGTTCTAAACAATTAAGTTGCCATAGATATTGCCCAGCCCCACTTAAATGGTATTAATTTTATTTGTGCAGGTCTTAAAAAGGTCTTGGAAGTCTTAAATTTGATTTAAGAAATCCTCAAGAAACATTTCTTATTAGTATCATTGTTGAAAACATTTGCTGCTTAATATTTTGGTTGAAGCTTTGATATTTTTTTTAGGATTCTTTGATGAACGGTTCAAAAGTACAGCATTTATTTAAAATAGAAATCTTTTGTAATATTATAACTGTCTTGTATAGAGTACATTTATATAGTGCACAGAAATCTCAGAGAGTGAGAAAATCTCAGAGAGTTTTCTGTAACATGTCCACTCTAGCTATATACCTCATATTCTGTTGTTGTTTTCTCTAATGCCCAGATTCCTTCTGATAAACTGGTGAAACTGTTGAATATTCTGGAGAAGAACATTCTGGATGGAGCCAGTCTTTCTACACTCATGAACCTTGTAAACATCACTTTGTTCCTTAATCATGTTGGTTTTTTCGAGTGATATTTTCACACTTCAAATGATGCCTTTACTTGTAGTTCACTGCTTTTCCTCAGTCGTCTTTCTCTGCTCTTCATCAGGATAATGAGGGAGAGGACGAGGAGCGTCTCTGGCGGGATCTCATCATGGAGCGTGTAACCAAATCAGCGGATGCGTGTCTGACAGCACTGAACGTCATGACATCATCACACATGCCCAAAGCCGTGTACATTGAGGACGTGATAGAGAGAGTTCTGCAGTACACTAAGTTCCACCTGCAAAACACTCTTTACCCGCAGTATGATCCGGTCTACAGAATTGACCCTAAAGGAGGTGAGACACTTCGCTTCTGCTGAAGGGCATGCAAAATCAAGAAATATTCACAAACGGTTTACTCTAAAACTATTAACTGTATTTAATACCTAAATTAATTGTTTGACAAATGAAAAAAGATGTACCCTCCAAGTAAAAATAAATAAATGAATAAATATTAGTACTATTCTCTTACATCTTAATGAAAATGACAAATAAAATGTAGTAAATATTATATATGTATTATTTTTGATGATGATAATATTATATAGGGGTGCTCCGATTGATCGGTTACTGATCACTATAGGCCGATAATCGCTTTAGGATGTTTGATCGGCGGTCTCTAAAAAGGCAGAACTAAAAAAAACGATCTCAAGCTGATGACGCTGATGCGCAAAATATGATTGTGGTTTTGCGCAGCTTGTCAGTGGCTCTGTGTAGTAAATGCTGCTCCATGTGAAAGCTCGCACGTGATGGAGATTTACCACTGATTACAGAACCGGCTTTACTGACTAGATGCGCGTTAAATATCGCATGCGATTTATCGTGCAGCCCTAAACCGCAGGATTGCTTGTAATAAAGATTTCAATGCAAAAGGAAAGGCAGTAGAGCTGACTATTTCTGTCAATGGTAAGTTTGTGATAATGTAAGAAAAGTAGTTTAAATGTTTTGCCACTTGCTTGAGCAACTTAATATATAAATCTAGAAGTAAATGCAAAAGTAAAAAGCATTGAATGATGTGTTGCTTATATTTATTGCGTTTAAACATGTCTGTGAAAGACTGTATTGCTGTACTGCGTAAAAAAAGAATCACAATGCTGAAAAAGCATTTTCAGTGACAATGTTTGGATTTGAAATCAAAATAATGGATAAATGTTGTGTTTGTGGTAAACAGCCATGGATCAGTAGCCGACGACTCTGTGAAAGCACAGTCCGTGCTGCTTCCCCTCACAAGAGACACCTAAAAGGGAATTCCCCCCATTTTCAAAAATGAAATTTAGGCCCTGAATTAATGTCTAAAAATCATGATTGGAGTATCAGAGGGCTTTAAAAAGATCGGTATCGGTACTAAAATTACATTTTATAAATGAACTAAATTTAATAATAATTAGAATAGATTTTTTTTGGACAAATTTTACATTGGTATTTACTGCCAGCTTACTGCCATTGTTTTAAATTACTAGTACATTAAATAACATTATATGTCAACTGTTTGTAAATGTAAATGAACTGCTTCCTAACATTTTCTTGTGGTTTGAACCATGTGTGGTTTCAGGTTCCTTGCTGAGCTCCAAAGCAAAGCGAGCCAAGTGCTCCACCGCCAAGCAGAGAGTCATCATCATGCTCTATAACAAAGTGTGTGACGTCGTCAGCAACATCTCAGAGCTTCTGGAAATTCAGCTGTTGACTGATACAACAATATTGCAGGTAGGAACTGATGGGTGCAGTGTATTTGTGTATACTCTTTAGTTTATTTGCATTTATTGCATGTTGTATCGCTCTGTGTTGTTGTTCTTCTGCAGGTCTCTTCGATGGGCATCACTCCGTTCTTTGTGGAGAATGTCAGTGAGCTGCAGCTGTGCGCCATAAAGCTGGTGACGGCGGTATGTTTTCATAAATGAGCACATATATAGATGAGCTCCATCATAAATATAATGAAATTATTTTTTAAAATTAAATTATAACAAAACTATTTAGCCATTTTTTCCTTAAATACTCATTTTGGTTTAATGTTAGGAATGTTTTTTTTTTTTTCTTTTATTTCTTGATTTTAAAATTATGATTTTGGTCCTTTAATACACATTTTGACTTAAAATCAGGATTGTCTCTTTTTTTGTTTTCTTGTTTTGTGACCACAGAAGTTGTTGTGGAAATCAGAAGACTATTTTTATGTTATGATTTAAACTATATCTAAGAACATGTCACTGATGGAGGCTTTTTGCTTCTCCCTTTGTCTCAGGTCTTCTCTCGTTACGAGAAGCATAGACAGTTAATTCTAGAGGAGATTTTTACCTCTTTGGCCAGACTGCCCACCAGCAAACGCAGCCTCAGGAACTTCAGGTGCTGTTATGACTGCCTATATTGAGCTGACAGTTCTGCCTAAACTGATCTGTGATAACAACAAGCATTTCCTGCATGTCAATTCTGTGTTTAGGTTGAACAGTAGTGATGCTGAGGGGGAGCCCATATACATTCAGATGGTTAGTGCTCTGGTGCTGCAGCTAATTCAGTGCGTGGTCCATCTGCCCTCTGAGAAAGACTCTGAAGATGATCATAAGAAGGTACTAGTTACTCATCCACCACTCTCACATTTGTACTATTGCTGCAAAGTCTGGTGTAGATTACAGGATACATTAACAATATGATTTAATCCATTTCTAGGTTGACGACGATGTGTTCATCACCAACTCGTATGAAACAGCTAGACGGACGGCTCAGAACTTCCTCTCTGTCTTCCTCAAGAAGTCAGAACATCCCTCCTGTTTGCAAATTTTTTTTCTTCATGAAGTATGTGTGTGTGCAGTATTCAGTGTATGTTTCTGTATTGTTATTACTTAGGTGTGGCAGTAAACAGGCTGAGGAAGACTACAGGCCGCTGTTTGAGAATTTTGTGCAGGATCTGCTGTCTACGGTCAACAAACCCGAGTGGCCCGCTTCAGAATTACTGCTGAGCCTGCTGGGCAGATTACTGGTAGGAACAAGCCATAGCCAATCACATTATCTGCAACAGAGCCTAAACTTCCCTGACCGTGCTAACCATGAAAAAATGCATATTTATGAACCCACAGGTGTTTATGATGGTGCTTCAGACGATTTGTGCTAAAAAAAAAAAATCAAATAAATAAAGTATCAACATTTATTTAATTATAACATTAACAAATATAAATTCTATAATTATAAATATAATGTATATATTTTTATTTCACAATTTATATATAATTTAAACATGATTTATACATTTAATGTATATGATTTATTTCTGTTGCTGTTTTTATTTTTTATACATTTTTATAAAATGATGTATGTGTGTATGGATAGATTGTAAAACTAAAAGCTACCCATATTTTACTTGAAAATACAGAGTCCTTGTTGCTTATTACTTGTACTTACTATAGTAATAAGAGTAATTTATTTATAATGTGAGCAACTCTAAACCAGGTTTATAGCATTGTAAAAAGATCAATAATAAAAACCCAGTTTGGATAATGAAAGAAAATACAATAACAGTGATTTCAGTGAAACCCATACAGAGGTTCTTTCTTCTTCAGTGACCCTTGACCTTCATGCTCTGTCCCTAGGTGCACCAATTCAGTAACAAGCAGACAGAGATGGCACTGAGAGTGGCATCACTGGATTATCTAGGTACCGTAGCAGCCAGATTGAGGAAAGATTCTGTCACCAGCAGGATGGACCAGAAAGCCATTGACTGCATCATCAGAGAGGTATGCGAACATGTATCTACATTACACATGCTGGTGCATGTGGACTACATCTCATAAACACTCAATTTTCAATGTGTGTTTTTTATTTAATGGTTTTTCTATGTGTCTTTAGAGCTCAGAGGGAGACGAGACTCAGCGGTTGCAGAAAGCCTTATTGGGTTATATGGATGAGAATGCAGAAACAGACCCTGCCCTCACAGTGAGTCCATCTCAGATGCTCTTCATGTCCTGTGGCCTTTATGTAGATTCCTGTCTTCCTTTGAGTTTTTCCATGGTCAAGTGTCAACATGTGTAGTGTGAGGTTTCCTGCGGTTAATTTAACACCCGTAAATAACACTGAATTTGTTTCTCATGATCTTAAAAACCTTTTACACTTAAGGTTTCTTCTTAAATGCTTAAAATTATAAGGAAAGTTGGTAGAGAGAATCTGTAAGATTATATATAGGTACTCTAAATTTAAGAGAATTTTGATTGTTTCATATTTTAATTTGTGTTATTTTATAGTGACATTTAACTTCTAAAATAATATCCCATTAAATGTAGAGAATACTGACTGATACAGTATGTATGTAATTTAATAATGATTAATAATAATAAAATGATTCTATAAATATTAATATTATTTATAATGGTAAAAATAATAAAAATAGACATGCACAAAATGATCATTTTAATGATAGCAGATATCAGTAATTGTTGTTGTAATTTATTATTATAATTATTAATGATGACGATTAATAATAATAGTAATAATAATAATTATTATTATTATGTTATAATTATTATATAATAGTCATGCACAAAATTAGCATTTTACTGATTGCAGATATCATTAATTTGCCCTTTTTCTACCCTTAATCCGTCATGATAAATTCGTCAATCTGATTTTGTATTGTAGTTTGCGCGCAAATTTTACATCGCTCAGTGGTTCAGAGACTGCACTACGGAGACTGAGAAGGCCATGAGGAATCAGAATCAAAAGGAGGATGACTTGGAGGGCACGCAGCATGCCAAAGAGCTCCAGGCCACCGGAGACATCATGCAGCGTGCAGAAACTCGCAAGAAATTCCTCCACACCGTCATTAAATCAACTCCCAATCAATTTACTACTCTCAGGTATTATCACACACACATCACTGCTTTAATGATGTAACATCCTCGGCCTCAGTCAAGACTGTATTACAATGGTTATAAATTGCCAAATAAATCTTTTGACAGGATGAATTCAGACACTGTGGACTATGAGGACTCCTGCCTTATTGTACGCTACTTGGCCTCCACCAGGCCGTTCTCTCAGAGCTTTGACATCTACCTGACACAGGTGAGAAGATGGGTCTAAAATGTAGACAAAATCAGTTTCCACCTGGTATTAATGTACCTTACAAATGCATCTTTTTTGTATTTTCTTTTAGAACTTCCCTGACCGTGCTAACCATGAAAAATTGCATATTTATGAACCCACAGGTGTTTATGATGGTGCTTCAGACGATTTGTGCTAAAAAAAAAAAATCTAATAAATAAAGTATCAACATTTATTTAATTATAACATTAACAAATATAAATTCTATAATTATAAATATAATGTATATATTTTTATTTCACAATTTATATATAATTTAAACATGATTTATACATTTAATGTATATGATTTATTTCTGTTGCTGTTTTTATTTTTTATACATTTTTATAAAATGATGTATGTGTGTATGGATAGATTGTAAAACTAAAAGCTACCCATATTTTACTTGAAAATACAGAGTCCTTGTTGCTTATTACTTGTACTTACTATAGTAATAAGAGTAATTTATTTATAATGTGAGCAACTCTAAACCAGGTTTATAGCATTGTAAAAAGATCAATAATAAAAACCCAGTTTGGATAATGAAAGAAAATACAATAACAGTGATTTCAGTGAAACCCATACAGAGGTTCTTTCTTCTTCAGTGACCCTTGACCTTCATGCTCTGTCCCTAGGTGCACCAATTCAGTAACAAGCAGACAGAGATGGCACTGAGAGTGGCATCACTGGATTATCTAGGTACCGTAGCAGCCAGATTGAGGAAAGATTCTGTCACCAGCAGGATGGACCAGAAAGCCATTGACTGCATCATCAGAGAGGTATGCGAACATGTATCTACATTACACATGCTGGTGCATGTGGACTACATCTCATAAACACTCAATTTTCAATGTGTGTTTTTTATTTAATGGTTTTTCTATGTGTCTTTAGAGCTCAGAGGGAGACGAGACTCAGCGGTTGCAGAAAGCCTTATTGGGTTATATGGATGAGAATGCAGAAACAGACCCTGCCCTCACAGTGAGTCCATCTCAGATGCTCTTCATGTCCTGTGGCCTTTATGTAGATTCCTGTCTTCCTTTGAGTTTTTCCATGGTCAAGTGTCAACATGTGTAGTGTGAGGTTTCCTGCGGTTAATTTAACACCCGTAAATAACACTGAATTTGTTTCTCATGATCTTAAAAACCTTTTACACTTAAGGTTTCTTCTTAAATGCTTAAAATTATAAGGAAAGTTGGTAGAGAGAATCTGTAAGATTATATATAGGTACTCTAAATTTAAGAGAATTTTGATTGTTTCATATTTTAATTTGTGTTATTTTATAGTGACATTTAACTTCTAAAATAATATCCCATTAAATGTAGAGAATACTGACTGATACAGTATGTATGTAATTTAATAATGATTAATAATAATAAAATGATTCTATAAATATTAATATTATTTATAATGGTAAAAATAATAAAAATAGACATGCACAAAATGATCATTTTAATGATAGCAGATATCAGTAATTGTTGTTGTAATTTATTATTATAATTATTAATGATGACGATTAATAATAATAGTAATAATAATAATTATTATTATTATGTTATAATTATTATATAATAGTCATGCACAAAATTAGCATTTTACTGATTGCAGATATCATTAATTTGCCCTTTTTCTACCCTTAATCCGTCATGATAAATTCGTCAATCTGATTTTGTATTGTAGTTTGCACGCAAATTTTACATCGCTCAGTGGTTCAGAGACTGCACTACGGAGACTGAGAAGGCCATGAGGAATCAGAATCAAAAGGAGGATGACTTGGAGGGCACGCAGCATGCCAAAGAGCTCCAGGCCACCGGAGACATCATGCAGCGTGCAGAAACTCGCAAGAAATTCCTCCACACCGTCATTAAATCAACTCCCAATCAATTTACTACTCTCAGGTATTATCACACACACATCACTGCTTTAATGATGTAACATCCTCGGCCTCAGTCAAGACTGTATTACAAGGGTTATAAATTGCCAAATAAATCTTTTGACAGGATGAATTCAGACACTGTGGACTATGAGGACTCCTGCCTTATTGTACGCTACTTGGCCTCCACCAGGCCCTTCTCTCAGAGCTTTGACATCTACCTGACACAGGTGAGAAGATGGGTCTAAAATGTAGACAAAATCAGTTTCCACCTGGTATTAATGTACCTAACAAATGCATCTTTTTTGTATTTTCTTTTAGATTCTGAGAGTTTTAGGGGAGAGCGCCATAGCTGTCAGGACCAAAGCCATGAAGTGTCTGTCTGAGGTGGTGGCTGTTGACCCCAGTATACTGGCCAGGGTAAGAAATGCAGCTTAATTAAAACTGGCAGCACAACACTATAGGTAATTCTGTGGGGGTTGACCGTTGATGTCTTTTAATTGGTATGTTTGTCTGTTATGTAGTCTGATATGCAGCGTGGTGTTCACGGCCGGTTGATGGATAACTCCACCAGTGTAAGGGAAGCGGCGGTCGAGCTGCTGGGACGGTTTGTGTTGAGTCGACCTCAGCTGACCGAGCAGTACTATGACATGCTCATCGAGAGGATACTGGTATGACAGCACTTCAGATCACTGTCTGACAGTTTAGTAGCAAAATGTAAAGCTTTAATCATTGTTTATATGTACATTTACACACTACCATTCAAAAGTTTGGGGTCGAGTTTTTTTGTTTGTTTTTTGTTTAAAATGTTCTTTTTAAAAAATCCTGAAAAAATGGTTTCAGCAAATCAGCATATTACATTGATTTTTGAAGGGTCATGTGACACTGAAGACTGGAGTAATGATGCTGAAAATTCAGCTTTGACATCACAGGAATAAATTACATTTGAAAATGTATTGCAATAAAACATGCTTATAATTAGAAATAATATTTCACAGTATTGCTGTTTTTTCGATCAGATAAATGTGAGCATGAGACACTTTTTTTTTTTCTTTTCTTTTTTTTGTATTATGCATGCAACTTTTTTTGACCTCATAATAATTTGTAAATATAGGTAATGAACTTGAAAAGACAAAAATATAAATAAAAATTGTGGAAGTTAACGGTGACCCTTTTAAAGGCCTAAGATATACACTTTCCCTTTAGACAGTGATGTGAATTTTGGCCTGAAGTCTTGATGTTAAAAACAAACATCAGCTATTTTGAATACTGTGCATGTAATAGGTGAGAAGTTTAAATTGTTTTTCTGTGCTTTCACTCCAGGACACCGGTATCAGTGTGAGGAAGAGGGTGATCAAGATTCTGAGAGACATCTGTTTAGAGCAGCCCTACTTCAGTAAGGTCACGGAGATGTGTGTGAAGATGATCCGCAGGGTCAATGACGAGGAGGGCATCAAGGTGCAACCACGTTCTTTCCTTTGTTTTGCATGATAAATGCAATGCTGAACTTCTGTTGTGATGGGTTTTTCCATTTAGTGACAAAAGTGTGAGCTAACGGTTTTTCCCTCCCTGCAGAAACTGGTGAATGAAACATTCCAAAAGCTGTGGTTTACGCCCACAGCCAGCCACGACAAAGAGACAATGAATAGGAAGATTCTCAACATCACTGATGTGGTCAGTCCAGCTGTTTATATTGTATATTTTTTTTTGTGTGTGTGTGTATATATATATATATATATATATATATATATATTGTTTTGTCTGACCGATTCCGATTCAGCATTTGTTTTATTTGGCTCTAAATCAGAATGTGTCTACATTATCAGTGTTAGAACCACCGCAAGCTGTTTGTGGTTGTAGCTGGGTAACACTAGAGAAGACATGTTTTTATACCTTTTGGTTTTACTACCAGAACATAAGACCTTCCAGTGGCGCTTGCATTTCTCTGCAACAGATGCATTACAAGATATGCAAATGTAAGCTGCTCCCTGAAGGCAATTTCTGAATATGAACTGGGTCAGAGGTCACAGATTCTACCTGACCTAAAAAGCCACGGCATCCAACTAAGCAGCTCTATGACCAGAGGCATATTAAAATCCGAATAAATCAACTCATCATCTTACAGTGTAGGCGTCACCTTCCATTGTCAATTGTGCTCATTCCTTAATCTGGCAACCCACGTGAGCATAGAGTCTGAGGAGGAGGGACGGGAGAAACAACTCTCTCCAGTATTTTGAATTTGGACTGCAGTACCCATTTTAACCACTAGCCGCCAATATTACATACTGTACCTTTAAAGGCAGAGTGAGGGATTTCTGGTAGCCAATGTTGATATTTGAAATCACCAAAACAAACATGCCTCTACCCCAAAAGGGTCTCGCCTCTATTCTGATAGCTCCGCCCCACATATACGTACGCAACCCAGGCAACAATTAGTTCTGTGAAACAAAGCAAAACCAATGTTACACCGTGTCTACGGACGTGAGTGGCACAGACACAAATTTCAAATGGTTTTCAAAGGTCGTTTGATCGCGTCCAGTGTAGGCAGACTTTAGCTGTTGTAGACACTGTTACTCACCTATTGAGAAGAAACAAAGCAACCTCGGCGTCCGATCGCAGGCCTCCGCTCCTTGAGTTCTCTCCAGCGCTGGAAAGCTGATCCGATATTTACACGGGTCCTACTTCTTGCCTTATCGTTCCGCAGACGTTTTCCTCTTTTGTTTTTATCCTCCATCTCCATCTTTCTGTGCTCGGCTCGGCTAATGTCCGTCCCGTGCACTGAACGCGCTCTCCTCCACTTCACGAGTAGACACGCCCCTTGTAGCTGATTGGCTACAAGTTTGTTTTGCGATTCGGCCCGAATCAGTTTTTAAAGTGTTTTTGAAAAATCACTTACTCTGCCTTTAATAAAGCAACTTTCACACAAATCGTTAAAATCAGACTGACTCATGTCCATACCTAAAGATCTAGTGTGAAAATGGCTTTTCTTTAAAACAGTGCATCATCCCCAAGCTGAACTTATTCTTTTCTGTACTGCAGGTTGCTGCCTGTAAGGACACTGGCTATGACTGGTTTGAGCAGCTCCTGCAGAATGTAAGTGTTTTTTAAGTCAAATCCATTTCCCTCTTCTGGTCTCTAGTTTGGAGGACTGTAGAACTGCAATTCACAGTGTTTTGTTTTTAATAGCTATTAAAGTCAGAGCAGGACTCGTCCTATAAGCCAGCCAGGAAGGCCTGTGTTCAGTTGGTGGACAATCTTGTGGAGTACATCCTCAAATACGAGGAGGCACTTGCAGGTACGCACATTCTACTAGACTTGGGAAATCTGATTTGTTTTAGCATATCAGTTGATTAATCCTGTAAAGCCTGATATATGAAATAATAGTCACAAACAAATACAATTTTATTGAAATGGATCAGCTTATTATAAAAATATAAAATATAAAAAGTTTGCATATCTTTTTTTTTTTTTTTTTTTTTTTTTGTAAAGATTTATTTTATGTT